TCCTTTCTCTCAACGTCTCCGTATAGTTGGCAACGAAGTCGATTACTGCCTTGCCAAAATCAACGAAGTTCTTCATGTCCATTGTTGTTCTGAGTTGCGAACATTAAATAAACAAACGAATGAAAAGTAATAAAACGATACTTTTTCAATAGAAATTGATAGTAACAACCATATCGAAAGCAGTCTTCACATTAATCAAACATTATTATATATTACTTTTCAGCAAGGAGAAAAATTCCTCTCTATCCGCATTAATGGACCAGATACATTCGATACTTGAAATAAAAATAAAATGTATGAGTTTTTCATTCATCGGCACATTGCATGGAGTAAACTCACGTACTGTGTTACGTTGCAGTGCATTAACGGTTCCATTTTAATTTACTTTAATACACTTTTTTCCTACTCTGAGTCGAAATTCATCAAGGAAATGTTTTACAGGAATTTTAATAAATAGGACGCGTTATTTATTCGTAATGAAATGAAGTTATCACGCACCGAGGAGGGAGATCAAACTGAGATTTACAAAACTACGAAACTCGTTCATCTCTAACATTGTCGGGTGAAACGACAGTTTCTGAATTACCAAAAACACACCTTTTGTTCCAATTACGGCAACGCGAACTGTTTAACGAAACGTTTTTTTTTCTCTCTCTCTCTTTATTTCAAGCACGACGATGTAAATAAAACGTCACGTGGAATTAACACTGATCAAGATACAAGTTCTGAATTCAGACTGAAATCGAAGAACACGTGATTGGAAACTATGAAACGGATATCAAAGTCGAGAATGGTCCATAAAGAAGTGACTTGGCTTGTACATCGCCAGATGAAGTTAAATGCCGACACTTTTGCTTTTACCATAATTATACAGAAAAAATAAATAAATAAATAATAATTGATCAGTGCGTAGCGCGGAAGAAACGGAAAAAAATCCTATTTCACGAAGCTTCTCTATGGAATTTCGTGGAGGAATCGAGAATGGCCGTCGTCTAACGTCACAAATTACCAAGTTTTCTGACATTACGCGATTGGATCTTAACGACCTTAATTAATTAAAATTATTGCAACAATGCATTACAAAATATCAAACGAACAACTTGTAAATTTAATTAAAATATCAATTCAATTTTATATATCTTTTAATGTAATTAAAATATAAAATGTATAAAATATAAACAAATTTTAATTGAAATATAATTGCGTTTCGAGCTGGAATTACGTGAATTTGAAGAAGACTTAACGAATATTTATTGTTCATGTGTGAACAAATCATGATGACAAACAATTGTTTGCTTATATCCATTTCCATTTTGAATCCCAGGTTTGACAATACTTCTTTTACTTTTTTAATTCAACAATTTCAATTATGTATAATTATTAACTAATATCGAATAATAATGTCGAGCATGACGCTGCAGAGACGCCAGTTCCTTTATCAGATGAAACATAAAAGATCGTCCATATACTTTTATCGCGTTTTAATAAAAAAAAAATTTTATAAAAATGTAACGCATAGAAAGTGCGTCCTTAAAGCAATTCAAAATACGGAAGAGCATAAAATCGAAGCGCTCATGCATAACGGCCTTGATTTCTTCAAAGGATAAAAACATTAGAAATAAATGAGAATGAGAATTATTCACACACATATCTGTGTATCTTCAATATGAATTTATACACATTGCCATTATCATGTCTACTATGTCATATCTTTAACACATACTATAT